CGACAAGTAAGCTGCCCTACAGTCATCAGCATCAAGATCTTCACTCAGCTCATGACTGGGTGCGCCGGCCACTTCGATGTACTCATCAACTGTCCTGTGGATTTCGCCGTGACCTTTAACCTCTCCACGGGCACCAGTGACCTGCCGGACATCTTCACCCTGCAGGTCAACGACTCGCGCGCCTCACACCACCTGGTGGTCACCTCTGTGTACTCACCGCTCAACGTGGACGAGCTCACCTCGGGTGAGTTGGGAAGTTTTTAGACGGAGGTTTTTAGATGACGTTTTTTAGACGGTGGATTTTAGTTGAAGATTTATTTTTAAAATTAGGTTTTTGAACGGAGGTTATTTGCGGAGGTTTTTAAATGGAGGGTTTTAGATGGAGGCTTTTAGATGGAAATCTTTAGATGGAGGTTTTTAGACGGACGGTTTTAGATAGAGGTTTTAGATGAAGGTTTTTAGATGGAGGTTTTTAGATGAAGGTTTTTAGATGGATGCTTTTAGATGGATGCTTTTAGACGGACGGTTTTAGATAGAGGTCTTTAGATGTAGGTTTTTAGACTGAGACTTAGCTCGCGTGTCCACCAAATCAGAAACCTACTCGCCGTACGTAGTCCGTCTCTCGGCAAGTCAGTAGGTGAAATAAAGCACAGGTTCAGTTTTTACCTTTGCAATCCATGAAACTTTCGTGGTGTACCACTTACGGCACTTGCCTGTGGGACGCAAAGGACAAGAGTTTGATTCTCATGGTAGGTGATCTTAAAAAACGTTGTCCAGTATGATCGTCTGTCTGCTCGGACATGGTATTTTATCTCAGACCATTTTGACACTAACAGACAATATTGAGGCAGCCCGTTTCTAAAATCATAGGAGTTGTATCGATTCTTTTTTGACGGAAAAAGGGGGGGGGATGCATAATACATTTCTATTTACATTGACATCTAAATTCTGTCCATGCAGGGAACACAGCGCAGATGCGACACAAACAGTCCACAGAAGACGACCACAAGACCAACTTTAACGTTATCTGGATCCCGGTCCTCCTCATTCTAGCCGTCACCATCATCTTCCTCCTCGTCATTTTCATGTGCCACACCTGCATGAACAAAAAAGCCAAAAAGATGGCGTTCTCCAACAAGGGCCGGGCGGGTGACGAGGTGGTGGCTCTCAACAACCAAGGCGAGAAAACTAGCCCCTCCGTGGCTCCTACCGCCCAGGACGCCCCCAAACGGCGGTGGTTCATCAACGTCTTCATCGCCCTCTACGTAGTCTACTGCCTCCTGTTCACCTGCACCCTCACCTTCGGCGTCCTCTATCTGGCACACTCCTCCGTGTGGTCCGACATCTCCAGTCCCCAGAACTTGGGCCGAGAGCTTCAAGAACACGTGAATAAGTCTCTCACAGACATCCAGAAATTCGAGCTGAAAGAACGACAGCGGATTTTTAAAGCCTTTGAGAAAAGACGAGAGGCGTGCCTTTATCACCTGGAGTCCGAAAACTACAGGCTTCTCCGAGACTACGAAGACACGACTCTAAAACAGATCGGCTCGATCTTCGTCGAAAACGGCACCCTGCACAAACTGAGCTCGCGGATTCAGAAAGCCAACGTGTCTGTGTACATGCAGCAGATTGACCAGTTCGTCGAGGACTGCAACAAAACCATCCAATCCATCGTACATCGCTTCCAGGCCAACTACTTCCAGTTCCTGAGGAGCACCACGCTCAACGATTGGCTGCTGATGCCGCGGCAGATTTTTCTGGTCCAAGATGGCGAGTCCCCCGACCGTCGGTTCCTGTCCAATAACCAGGTCAAGCAGTTCGCCTCCTGGCTGGAGATTGACAAGACGGAGGAGTTGTTGGCGGTACAGGAGAACGTGTTTGGCAGGTAAATGTTGGAGTGTTTGTGGTGGTTAGAGACTTGACGTCGCCATCGTTGTTGTTGTTGCACAGGAGAACGTGTTTGGTAGGTAAATGTTGGAGTGCTTGTGGTTAGAGACTTGACGTCGTGATTGTCGTTTTCTTATTGCTGCCTTTGTTGTCGTTGTCGTCGTCATCGTTGTCGTCGTCATCGTTGTCGTCGTCATCGTTGTCGTTGTTGTACAGGAGAATGTGTTAGGTTGGTAGATGTTGGAGTATTCTTTGTGGTGTGGAGATTTGACGTTGTTACTGTCGTTTTCTTTTTGTCGTCGTCGTCGTCGCCATTGTTGTTGTTGTTTTGTTGTTGTCGTTGTTGTTGTTGTTGTTATTGTCGTCGTCGTCGTGGTTTTTGTTGTTGTTGTTTCATTGTTTTTGTTTTATATGTTTAATTTTTACTGGTGTTACTTTTTTGGTTTTGGGAGTATTTGGAGAAGTATTAGTAACCTGTTTTCTCGTCTCTTACTTTCCAGAAGCTCATTGTTGATGTAGAGGAGTCTATGGTCCTTTCTTAGTGTAGAGTTGTGTACGTTCTTCCTTCTCACAATCCAGTCAGTGATGTCAATAGTGAATTAGATGAAATGTGCGTGTTCTCTGACTATTACTGGCTCCTATCTCTCTCTCACTCTCTCTCTTTCTCTTTTCTCTTTCTTTCTCTTTCTCTCTTTCTCTCTCTCCATCTCTCATTCTCTCTCTCCATCTCTCTTTCTCTCACCCCCTCTCACTTTCTCTTTCTCTCTCTATCTTTCTCTCTCTCCCCGTCCGTCTCTGTCTCTGCCTCTGTCTCTGTCTCTGTCTCTCGCTCTCTTTCTCTCTCTCTCTTTCTCTCTCTCTCTCTCTCTCTCTCTCTCTCTCTCTCTCTCTCTCTCTCTCTCGTCCAAATACGCTTGCGCACTACCGACTGGCGGAATAGTGTTGCGTATCCAAAAATTTAACAAAAAACGAATATATTTTGTTACATTCCAAAATACGTTGTAAATGTGGACCACCCCTTCCCCCCCCCCCCCTTTCCTCTCCACAGACTAAACAGCATCAAACCACCCAAAGTCTCCTCCCTTGACGTGACTTTCCCGTCCGCCGTGCCCTACATGTTCCCGAAACCGCCTGTCTTTGACTTTCACTCTCACTCCTTCGCCTTCCACGTCCTTGACCCATCCACCAACGACTCCACTGCCAACAGTTCCGCGGACCCTCCAGAGGACCCTCCAGGGGCGTGGTCAAGGAACAAGCGAGACGCTGGCGACGGGACCGGGTTCGGAATTAGCGGAGCTCTCGCCCGAAATCCGTCCAGTAATTTCTCAGACAGCGCTGAAAGCCAAGAAGACTCAAAATCAAGTTCTCCGAAAGAAGACCCACCTAAATCGTATTTAAATAACGATGCTCGTTACAAAACTGAAACAAAGGTCGACGAGAATCATCCTCGTAGCAGCTCAAACTCGGACGAGGCGAGAATCGACGATTTTGATTTTAAAACGTTGCACGACGAACCGCGAGCGGATAGTTCTGAGTCTAACGTCATCCTCGACGCTCCTGGCCAGCCGAAATCTGCAGCCCTCTCTTCCTCAGACGAGACTGGTGGTGCCGGCTCGGAGAACAGCAACGACGATGATGGGGGTGGAGAAGACGACGGTAGCAACAGCAGACTTTTGTTCGTCCTCATCGGCGTGTTCCTCACGCTGGACGTGGTGCTGTGGATCTACCGCTTCTTCTGGCTCACCACACAGCTCTACGCCACGCGGCACGGCTACGCTGACCGCATCCCGACAGATGACGCCTGCAAGCAAGTCCTGGAGATTCAAACCGCGTATCATCTTCCGGCGTTTGAAGACCCGCATGACGACACTTCTGGGTTCTATGTAGACGGGAAAGAACAGCTGTACGTGTCGGACCGCGAGACATCCGCCGAGATCACGTTCCTGCAGATTCCCAAGGCCAAGGACAAGGACGATATCCTTCAGAAGATCTGGAACGAGAAGATGAACGCGTCTGATCATCGCACCGCCGTGCGCATGCGCCGGTGCTTTCTGGTGCGCTGGTTTCAGGATCTGTGGAGGCTGGCTCAGCAGTTGTTGATGTCTCAACTCGTGTGGCAGGTGAGGGAATAGGGAGTGTTGGTGGAGGTTTCTCTGTCTCTGTCTGTTGTCTAGTTCTGTCTCTTTATCTCTTTTCTCTTTGTCTCTATCTATCTATCTATCTATCTATCTATCTGTCTGTCTGTCTGTCTGTCTGTCTGTCTGTCTGTC